TTTGGAGGGTTTAAGAACAAACCTTTTGGGGAAACAGATGGAAACACTTTCTTGTCTGAACTGGAATATTCTTTCCCTGAACTTCAGACTATTTTTTCCTGATTCTGGTTATCTCCATTACTATATCCAGGACTATCTTTGACACCAGTACTTGGAAACTTTATGCTTTCCCACAGGTTGTTTTATAAAAATGCATTGATTCACATATTAATTTATTTGTATCTTATTATTTCAAAATCTGGTGTCAGAGATACCTCTAGGCCACAAGACATTTAGAGATCTATAATGATGGACATACCTTGATCCTGATGAGTACCCAACCTAGGTTTCAGTAAGAGGGCTAACCTGATCTTTTAATACCTCTAAAGTTTGGAATGCTCCAAACCTCAGACCATGGTCCTCTTTCTTTCAACTTTGTTGATTGATTGAGTGAAATGTTTTGTTTGTTTGTTTTTTCTCACAGTTCTAGAGACTAGAATTCTAAGACCAATGTGCTGTCAGGGTTGCTTTCTGGTAAGTCCTCTCTTCCTGACTTAGAGACATCAGTCTTCTTACTATGTTAACATATGGCCTTTCCTCTCTGCGTGCACATGGAGAGAGAGAGAGCTCTCTGTTGTCTCTTCCTCTTCTTATGAGGACACCAGTCAGGGTGGATTAGGGCCCCAACCATATGACCTCTCTACTCATTTTTTCAGGACAGCTTATCCAGTTCCATGACTTTAAACACTATCTTTATATTCTTGATGACTCCCGAATATATATTGCTAGCCCTTACTTCACCCTGAACTTCAGACTCATTTCTAATTGTCTACTCAATATCTCTACTTGTATGTCCATAGACACCATAAACTAACATGTCCAAAACCAAACTTTTGGTTCCCCCTAAATATGTGTCTCCTTGAGTGTTCCCTGTCTCATTAAATCCAGTTGCTCAGCCCAAAATTTTTTGAGTTTTTCTCTTGTATGCTACATCCAATCCTTCAGCAGGTCCTAGTTGATTCCCTTTAAAATATATCTCAAATCTGTCCACATATCATTTCTTCTAGCATTACCATTCTGTCCAAGCCATCATCTTCTCTCACCTGGACCACTGCGATAGGCTCCGAATGGTCTCCTTGGTTCTACTCTTGCCCAGACCCCTCTTTAAAACATAAATTAGATTGTAATTCTCTGCTGCTTAAAACCCAGTGATTTCTCATCAACCTAACCTGGCGCAGCTACCTCTCTAATTTCATCCTCTGTGAATATCACTGTCATTCATTTCCCTCTAGCTACTCTGCCCTAGCTTTCTTCAGTCATTCCAGGCATATTCTGACCTTAGAGTTTTTGCATTTGCTCTTCTCCACCTCAAGTGCCCTTTCTCCAAATAATCCGATGGCTTGTTCAATAACTTCATTTAGGTCAAATGACTCAAATGTCATCTCCTTAGAGAGATCTTTTTATTTATTTATTAGTCATTCTGCTTAAAAGAGCATTCTCCTAAAATCCCCATCTTTACTGTGCTTTATTTTTCTCTGTAGTTCTTGTTGCTATCTGACATTATATCAAAACTATTTGCTTATTGCGTGTGTCCACACTAGAATGCAAGCTCCCTGAGGTGAGGGAGGCAGGGACTTTGTTACGTTCACTGCTGTATCTTCAGTGCCTAGAACACGGCCTGGCTCATACAAAATACTAAATATAGATTTGTGGAATGAATGAATGAATATGTAAATAAGTGGCTGCACCTATCCTTCAAAGAAAGATTCTGAAGGAATGCTGAAACTCGCTGGGCAGGATTCACAGTTCCCAAATCACTGCTCCAATCTCCATGCTATCTACTGCAACATGCATGCTTTCTTACTGTACTTCAAAACTTCACCTTCGAATCCTTTCCAGCTTACGTCCCTCTTTTACCTACTCTCACAGGTTGCACTTTACATCTCCATCCCACAAAAGTGGTCTTTTAGAATTCATTTTCTAAGATAACAAATGCTCATACATAGAAACAGCAGTTGCTCTTAGGACATGAGGGTTAGTTCATGATAGTGGTGCTGAGAGCAGAAAGTAAGGAAAGAAATTTGAAACTTGGATAAATTAAATTCCAAAGTTCTGGAGGAACTTGCAAATATCTTGGAGACAATATACTTATGAAATTGTAGCAAATGGGAAAGGTGACAAAAGATTGTACTGGTGATAACTCACCTGGAGTCTAGTGCACTCTGTCTAGTATTGAGTCCAATCTGGGCACAAGATTTTTAGAAAGACAAAAAGAAAAGTGTTCAGAGATGGCAAATAGTATAGCGAACATACATCATATGAGTAATGGTCGAATAATAGTAATAGTAATTGCAAACATTTACTACGTGGCAGGCATTATTCTAAATACTGTTTGTAAAAAGTTATTTAATGCTCATCCTATGAGGTAGATGTTACCCTATCTTTTTGGATGAGGAAATGAAGTTATAGAGAGGTTAAGTAACTCCCACAAGGTCACACAGCTAGTAAGAGGTAGAGCCAATGCTGATTTCATGCTGATTCAGAGTCCATGCTTAACACTATGTTACTATCTTTTAAAATTTTAAAGTGTGCTATTGAAGAAAATTTTAGATTATTATAGAAGTTCTTAGAAGGCAGTATTAGCCTTTACCTCAGGCTCAAGCACCACCATCTCCTACTCAGTCTTCCCAGTCTCCCCAGTATGTACTCCAATAATAGGACCTGTAATAGCACTTTAGTACACTTGCTTGTATCCCTCTCTCTATTAACATATCTTTCAACTATTTTGAGGATTATATTTTATTCTCTTTTGAGCTACTAAGTTTAGTTTAGTGCTTGGCATATAATCAACATTCAGTTTTTGTTGAATGAAAAACATGAATAAACGATCTCTAAGTCAATTAGAACTGTCCAGTGATAAGATCATGAGCTCCTGATCACTAGAGGTATTCAAGCATGGGCTGAATGCTTTAAGGATGCTTGAAGGGATGCTGCAGAAGGAACTTTCATGTCATTGTGGAAGATTAGACTAAGTTTCTAACTATGAATAATCTAATCCTATAATGAGTTAATTATGATTTTTTTCTTCAAACATTTAGTTAGCACCTACTGTGTGCCTGGCATTGATTTAGGCATTGAAGATACAAAGATAAAAGTGGCCTAGCCAATATCCATAAAGAGCTAGTAGTCAGTGGATAACTAAGAAAAGAGATGCTCAGGAATATAGGTGTAAAGTCTTAGTGGATAAAAATAAATAGAAAAGGACAGCTTTTATTTTTTATTATATCTTTTTTGAAGATTTTATTTATTTGACAGAGACACAGTGAGAGAGGGAACACAAGGAGGGGGGAGTGGGAGAGGGAGAAGCAGGCTTTGCGTGGGGCAGGGAGCCCGATGTGGGGCTCGATCCCAGGACCCTGGGATCATGACCTGAGCCGAAGGCAGACGCTTAACTATTGAGCCACCCAGGCGCCCTGAAAAGGACAGCTTTTAGAGATGTTTTGAATAAATGGGGGAGAGGGAAAAAGCTGTGACATAGGGGAGAACTGGGTATGAAAGATGACCCTAAAATTACCTGCCTGAAAAGGGAGAACTTAGAAGTAAAGACCGTGTGTTATGTTGTTATGGGAGAATTCCCCAAAGAGAAGTATCAGTGTTTGCCATCAAGGTGTATTGCAGGGCTGGATGTAATTCAGTAGAGATTAGTTTGTGAATATTTTGAAATTCTTGGAACAAATGTTCTTCTCTTATTAGTCTCTCAAACGAATAAAGATGGTAACCTCTTCCCTGCCCTCTGCCCTGTGTAGGGGCATTGACATTAAATGGACAGTCTGTTAAGTCATGTGAGACCCTTCAGTTTCTTTTCCTATTCATGTGCCTGGAATCTGTTAGGCAGTGGGGAAGTAGTAGTCTTTCTTTATATTAGCCTGGTCCCTCATGCTGCTCATCCTTCACACATGTCTAAATATGTCTTGACACAGAATCATCCTTTCTAGCTGGGACACGACTCCTAGGTAGGTGGGGAATTCCCCTGTTTTGCTTAAAATCATAGTTGTCTTTGAGTTTGGCTAGCATGTTCATGATTAGTTTACTGACAATTGGTTTTTTTTCTTCTTATACCATATGCTCTTCCATGATTCATCAGCTTTGAGTCTGTTGCCTTGAAGGTGAAACAATTTCTTCCAATGTTGATATTTCATAATCTCATAGATAACAAGCATACGCATATGCATAGTCCTTTCAGAAGTTTTAAACATTTGGAGATGAATGAATTATGCTGCCACAAATGGAAAGGAGCAGTATAAAATCATAATGGTGATATCCAGTCATCTTTTGTTGGTGGTTGGGTGAACACTGATATTGATAAAGCCTGGGTACTTTACTGTGTTTATCTCTTTTTGAGAAATTGTTTGTGACATGTACTATTTGTTTATGAATATTAAAGTTTAACATTTTACTTAAATTGACTTGATTACATGTATTTAATATTTTAAACTGACAAGATCTTTATTTGTAGAAGTGGGGTTCAAATTCCAAATAAATTGCAACATTCACTTTTTATATTGTTTTGTTTATATTGTAATGGTTGCATCTTTTCTATATTTAATGTATAGCAACAACTATTCAAACCTTCAGAAATCTTCTTTTAATTTCTGATAGAAATAGTAATCTTTCAAAATATTTTAATAGAACAGTACATTTTTGAAATCAGTGCAAAGCAGTTATTTCTACATTGGTGTTTTCTAAGTGTTTTGATGATTAGGCGTCTAATAAACATGGTCTAAATTCAATTTCTGCACATAGCTTTAATCAGTGCATTTATTGTGGTGCATCATTTAGCCCCCTGTTTCTATTTACTCAGAATGGCAGTGATTGTTTTCAATGAAGAAAAACTCTTTATAATTTCATGGTGTAGATGCTCATGTAAATATCTTTATAATTTAAATACATTTAAAGAGAGATTTTTGAAAGACTCTAATTCGCAGTATATCTCTCCCCCTGACCCCTTTACCTGGTTTTAGCTCCTCTTTGGTTCAGGTGTGCTGGTGTCCCTAAGCCTCTCTGGGCCGCAGCTGGAAAAAGTGGTGATTGACAGAAGCCTGGTGGGGAAGCTCATCTCCAACTCCATCAGTGATGGTAATTACCCCCATGTGCCTACATTAACAGTGGTGCAGGAGAAATAGTGTGTCAACAGGTACACTAATTATTACCACTGGGGACTTGGAAACACAAGTAATCACTTATAATAGCATAGTTACAACCCCTGGGACCAATACAAGTTTTGACTAATATTTACTACAAAAATTTTGTCAAGCCTTAGGCTCATACTCTGAGTATTTTTCACTTTTTCCTTTAAAAAATGTGAATGTATTTTCAAAAGAGGGTGTTTTTTTGGTGTGTTCTTTCAAAATTAGTCCCCTATTGTTGACATTTCAAATATTTTTCATTTTCAAATGAATTTTGGATAAATAACCCAAATGTGTCAACACATCCACCAATTAAAAAAAAAAATCTATGATTTGGCTAGTAGGAAGATCCTTTGTTACCAAAATCTATGAATACTAACTTTTGAAAAAATTTGGGCAGTATTTCTAAATATCAAAAACCAATGCCAAATATACTAGATAAAGCCAGATCCTTTTAAGTATACCACAATCAGTATATACTTGCTACAAAGCACATAATAAAGGGGCTCCTGGGTGGTGCAGTCAGTAGGGTGTCCAACTCTTGGTTTCAGATTGGGTTGTGATCTCAGGGTCAGAGATTGAGCCTGGGTTCGAGCCCGGAGTTGGGCTTCACGCTTATCGCTCATCATGGAGTCAGAGGTGGCTTGGGTTTCTCTCTTCCTCTCCTTTTGCCCCTCCCCCACCCTCACACTCCCACACACACATGGACATGCACACACTCTCGCTCCCGCACTCTTTCTCGCTCAAATAAATAAATATTTTTAAAAAGCACACAAAGATTTTTAAGCCAATTATTGAAAAGGTAGGATACTGACATTTATTGAGCCCTAAAAGGCTCTATAATTCTGTGTCAACCTACTTATTTCATTTAAGTAAAAGAAAACTTTATGTGGTATAGTTATTTCCATTTTATAGATAAGGAAATTGAAGCTAAGACACTAAGGAACATGCCCATAAGTGAGATACTAAGGAACAGCTTGAAAATAACCAAACTGAGATTGGAACCCAGGTTCTAGCTGCAGAGCCCATTTTCTCTCTGCTATACTGTGCTGACTCCTGAGGTTTTAAGGTTATATTCTTTTATTGAAAGTAAAAAGGTTTAAGAAACAGGTTGCATTATCATTAGTGATTGAAAATTGTCAGATTCTTAACTGAATAATCAAAACAAAGTGTGATCTAGTGGAAAGGACAGAGGTGAGAATACAGAAACCTTGCTTCTGCTGTGTGCTATCACTAGCTACCTCTGAATAACTTAGACCCAATTTCATCATCTTAGAGAAAAGCACTTTGCAGGATGGCTATAATTAGCAACATTCTTGATAATAATAAGCTGGGGATAGGATTGTAAGTGTGCCGTTTCCTCTTCCTTACAGGAACATGGTGTCAAGGAAGCTTCTTATGGAAGAAGTTCCATTTTCATATGTGTAATAATTGACCCCTTTGTTGACACTGCAAATAAAATAGTGGCTGTGATGATTTTGTCATGTTGATGCTCCTGTATAAGAATTAAAAGGAGACTCCCAACACTATTCGTGTCTCTGAGATATCTCTTTTTACTTGTTTCTTTTATTTATATCCAAAATAATACACTCTCATGAGACCATGATAACAATGTGATTTCTTGGCAGTTCTCCAGATTCTCCTGTAATTGTGTAGATATACTGTTGGTTGCTGCTTGCACAGCCAGTGTATGGAAGTAAAGAAAACTATATGAAACATTCAATAATTTCTTTATGGTAGGAACAATATAAAACATTTCTCAAGTTCCTAATATACTAAGTTTTTTATCAATTCTTATAACATTAATAATCCTTTATGTAACTCATGAATATTAATTGTCTGCCTACTTGTGTGCATTAGAAATAAGGCTGTAGAAATATTTTTGCTAATCTTCATTATTAGATATTAATTAATATAATGTGCATATTGAGTATAATATGCTTTATTTCATTCAGCTTGTATACCCTCAAAAAGAAGGTTGATTGATGAAAAATTTAAAAATAAAAAAAAAAAATACAGAGGCACCTGGGTGGGTGGCTTGTCATTTTAAGCGTCTGACTTCTGCTCAGGTCATGATCTCAGGCTCCTAGAATAGAGCCCCATGTTGGGCTCCCTGCTCAGTGGAGAGTCTGCTTCTCCCTCTCCTTCTCCCTCTGCCCCTTCCCCTGCTTGTGTGCTTGTGCATGAGCGCGTTCACACACTCTTTCTCTCTCTCCCTCTCTCTCTCTCTCTCTCTCAAATAAATAAATAAATCTGGAGAACACTGATCTGTATCCCCTAAAAAACCAGTTTATTCTCAGATGGTTTATATCATGTAAACACAGGATTAAAGGCTAAGTACAAATAAAAGTAAATGTTTTCATCTTTACATTCAGGTATGAGATAGTCTTTATTTTATGCTTTTCTAGCCTTGGTTCATTTGGTGGTTGTCCCCAAACATCAGTGTATCATAAAATGGTATTAGGAAAAAGGGAAAGTATCAAATCCATGCATGACTAGATTGATGATTATTGTTTATTTGTAATTTCTTTAATATTCTTGCAAAATAATGATATTTAGGAGACTAGTTATTTCAATTGGTATTTATCTTTTGAGAATAGCTTTTTGTAATATTTTAGTGAAAATTCTCAATTCATTATCATTTTATTCTAATTTAGTATTTTATAATATTATCAAATCTTTTTTGTTTTTGTTTTTTAGCTCTTCTCACAGACAACTTTATCATCTTATCATTTTTGACACAAAACAAACTATGTTTTATTCAGTTTACCAAGAAGATGGGTTCTCCTGATACAAACAAAAGACTGGAAAAACTCTCAGCCTTGGATTATAAGGTAGAGATTTCAATTTATAGAATTGTATTATTAATTATTAAGGTATGCTAGAGTATCACATGGATATTATGCTCATTCTTGAACATTTCTAGATTTCAGACAAACCAGAGTTAATTATATGATTAAGGTTGATTCAATGAAAATAGTGGCTATCATACCTTTTCTTTTTTACTCTCATTATGGGAGTCTAATAATGGCATGTTTGGAGCAATTTATTAAGTACTTATGGAAATCAAAGATAGACAATAGAGACAAGTTACACATTTGAAAATGGTTTTCTTGCTAAGGGCAGGATATACACCATTCTCATTTTTCCCTAAAATCCCATATCATCTTTCTAGGCAAGGATAGCTGCTCTGGCTTCCATTTCACAAGAAAAGAAAGAAGAAAGAAGTCACTTTCAAAGGTTAATAGAAAAGTGTAATAAACAAGGAGTGGGAAGACCCCTCACCCCCCACATACACACACGTACACCCAACTATAACTGGAGAAAAATGCAACACGAAATCTCCTTCATATGTTAGTATCTCTCCCTTCACTAACTCCAGGTAATTTGTTTCCTTGTATCAGGGATTTTACATCTGTTAAGGCAGGATTTTTATTTTAAATGATGTGTTTAATATAAGTTTTGCCATATTACATTTTAACTGCTTGGAAGGCATACTTTCTGTTAGGATGAGTATCTAATACATTTTCCAGGCTGTTTCAGTTCAAGGCCTCTTTTCAGCAATGACTTGTGTTTGCAAGATTGATCCAACCTCTGTGACGTGGATTTGAGACAGTTCACTGTTCACTGGGAACAGAGCTGATATACAGCTTCCTTAAAAAAGATGCACACTTATGCCATACCCAGAATATCTATCTATAATACGGGCAAAGATTTTTAGAAGTCAGCTTTGTGGCTTGAAACTTTGTGTGTTTTTTAAAAAGTAGTATTTAAGCTAACCTTTTGCCCTTTGGGATTATTTCTTATTGTGATTGAGGTGGTGGTGATATACGGAGGATTTAATTTTATTTGGTAGAAACATCTATTCTAATAAAAAAGATTTTTGACATGGGATAAAATATATTAAATGAGTTTTTCATTGTGGTAATAAACTAATTTGGTTTTCTTTGCCAACCTTGTGGAGCTTCTGTAATATTTTGTATATACTGATTTTCTTTAACTGGAGTCGGTGGTATTCATGTATTATATTTTGGTTAGTATAAAAACTGGTATTAGCACTCTTAATTGGATGTTATTTTCTAGATTGGCTAACTGTAGGTTTATTTGAAATGTTGCTTATTTACAAATACTGGTCTTTAAAATGCACCAATATAGAAAAAGTAAATAAATTAATGAAATGCTCCAATATGCATTAACTCAATATATTTAAAATGTTTTCAGTGCTACTAATATAAAATTTTGTATGACGAGTTCCTCTGTCTTAGCTATGATGGATATTTTAGTAGTCTTCTCAGCTGAAGGATAGTAGCTACCCATTAATGAGATCAGAGAGAAACTGTTAGCATGTTATCTTTTCTTATGAAAAGATATGAAAAATAGACTTACTATATGGACTCTTACACTTTAAGGGAATTGCTTATTTGTTTCTTTTTTCTGCCTTTGGATTTGAGGATAATGTGGGTACTCCACATCATTTCTATACATTGGAGAAGTAACCTGCTTCCCTTTGGAAAAGCCCATGGATTTCATTTTCTGGTCCAGTATTTAAAATACAGTTATTTAATACTTAGTAAAAATGGCCATATGTCTATTGGAAGGATAATTTAAGAAATTTGTTCACTTTACTTGCCCTGTTGACCATCATGATAGAATACTGATGCCATTAAAATTCACAGGAAACAGGAAATTTCAGATTTGCACCATAGGAGGACTGAAAGTGTCAGTCTCTTAACACTATTTTCTCATCTAGAAATTCGTAACATGCTTACATGGCAATAGGATATCAAAACAATGTATGTTTATTTGTGAGGACTTAGCAAGTCTATTATGGTATTTATCTCAAGAAGATAAGTAGTTAAAATAATGATATTGAGAGCATAAGTATAAGAATTTTCACTTTGAAGCCTAAAGTACATCTGTGTTGTGTCATTGCCCATTTGAATTTTAAAACAAAGAAATAGTGTAGAGTATTTATAACTCTGCTTTTCTTTACAGCTGTACCATAATTTAATTCTTTCAGATTGAAATAATTTTGGCAGGGAAAATTGCAGGGTAAATATCCTGAAACTGCTGACCTTTAACAAGTTTTCCAGTCTACATTTTAAAAATCCAATTCAATTTATTTAACAGGAGAGGGACAGTGCAAGGAGTTAAATGTTTACCATAGGAGAACAACACTGGTAATTACTTTGATTTCAGTTCCTTTTGATGTGCATTCAGAGGATGAAGAGGTCAATAATATTATGGCCATACAAATAGAAAAGGGTTCCTTTTGACCATATTAAAAAAAATAGCAGAGGATTATTAAAGCATTAACCTTGATTTTAATGGCCTTGGTTGAGTGGTGAGATCACAATTTGGATGAGCCTGATTATTTACTAAATACAATACATAAATGCAACGGGTTCTTAACACCCATTGCACTCTGGCATTATCGCATTACTGCCATCCTTTGTTGCCTTGCAGACAGGAATATGAAAGCAATCTGTCATGTAGTGAGACTGGCTCCAGAAGCATTTCTCTGATAAGAAGACCCCCTGCCCTTTGCTAGTGTCTGGTCCAGTAGGCTTAGCCATGCGCTTAATCCCCAGAAAGTGGTTCGATTATTGCTGACCAGCAATGGCAAGATAGTTTTTTTTTCTTCCAAGCTATCAACCTTCCATTAATTCCTTAAGCAGAAATACGGTGCAATCTATATTTCCTTGGCATGTGTCACCCAGATGGTGCTGTGCTTATGTTTTCAAATAACCATGTTCCAAAATAACATAGTTTGAATAATAAATTCTACAAATCCTTCCTAAGAAAGAGAAGCATAATTCTCAGAAGCTGCATAAACTTTTACGCATGATGCTGTGTCTTATCCCTTTATGCAGAATATATGTTTCATATATTATTCTTTAAAGTGATATTTGCCTCAAGTTGTTTTTCCTTTTATTGTTGTCAGTCATTGTTAACGTGTTATGTCTTAAACAGTAGTCAGATACTCTTGGTCAGCAGTACTGAACTTGTCATTTAATATAGCTGGTCTTAAATCCTATGTGTAGGTCGAAGCTGTCAAGCAGCCATGACTGTACATTTTGGTATTGATTGGGATTGCTACAGCCAATTCCTCCCTAACTCACATTTCTCCTTTTCCTTTCCTCTGCTAAAAATGGGGAGAATTTTGAACATATGTCTTTTTTATATATGTGTCAAAAGAATTTGGTAAATTCTGACACCTCCTTAAGCACATGTTTAACATGCATATTTACTTGCATTTATCTACATTTACAGATGCTTTAATTTTTGTAATACTGGGAGGATTTTGCATTAAAAAATGATTCTCATATGCTTTTTTCCCTTAATCATTAGATTTCCTATTACGAGATACCTGGCCCAGTAAACAGGACAACAGAGCGTCATCTAGCTATCAATTGTGTTCAGGATATAGTTGCTTGCTGGTGGCCACTGGTCAGTGATGATGCTTGGCCTTGGGCCCCCATTTCTCCTGAGAAGGACAGAGCCAATCTGCTGCTCCTAGGTTATGCTCAAGGAAGACTGGAGGTAAATTTAAAGCAAATATATACATTTTGTTGAAGAGCAAATAAAATAAGACTCTTAATTTTTCTGTTCTGAAATAAAGATGAATACTTTTTTAAACCTATAATTTATTTTCCTAAATTCTCAAAAGAGGAAATTACAGTAAAGTGGGATCCTTAGAAGTATCATATCTATAGGGTAAACAGACAATTCCAGGGCTGGCTTGAATCTCACAGTGATTAAGAACACAGGCTTCTGGGTTCAAATCCAAGCTCTGCCACTGTGTAGCTCTCTGTTCTTGAGCAAGGTATTAAGCTCTATGCACTGTGGTTTCATTGTTTGAAAAATAGAGTTAACAAAAATAAGTTAATACATGCATCTAGAGCAATACCTACATATAGTAAACTCCCAAACACAGATCACTGTTGTGATTCTTGTTATTACCATTTTTAGTAGCGTCATTACTGCCTGCCCATAATTTCATACCTGCCAAAGCTATGTTTTCTGTCACCTTCTTTATACTTCAGTCATTGAATCAGCAAACATTAGATGAATGCTTATTTTGTGGAAGACTCTGTGATACCAAACCATGGCTGAGGCAAGAATTTATAAGGAGGGCTGTAGAGCGGTGGCCTTCTCAGTCTAGTATCCTGCCTTGGATGGGAGCACCAAAATGGTTAATCTAGGAGTGTTGGGGGGGCAGTATTTATCCTATCTATTCCTGACCATGGTTCCATCATCATTCATTATTGTGAACCTATGGGTAATTCCAGCTTGTACCAGTACTTTGAGTATGGAATTCTGTTTTTCTTTTTTATAATTTAAAACAAAAGCAACCTTTCCTGTTTCTTTTTAAGTTTTTGCCTGAGTAAAATATAGACAGTCCCAACTTAGACATAGTTTGACTTAGTATTTTCGACTTTGCCATGGTACGAAAGCAATACATGTTCAGTAGAAGCCATACTTTGCATTTTGAATTTTGATCTTTTCCCAGTCTAGTGATGTGTCTACTCTCCCATGATGCTGGGCAGTGGCAGTCAGCCACAGCTTCCAGTCAGCCATGCAATCATGAAGATAAACAACTGTTGCCCTTACAACCATCCTGTGTTTTGCTTTCAGTACAGTATTCAATAAATTACATGAGATATTCAACACTTCATTATAAAATAGGCTTTGTGTTAGATGACTTTGCCCAATTGTATAGGCTAATTTAAATTTCTGAGCATGTTTAAGCTAGGCAGGGCTAAGCTGTGGTGTCTGGTAGATTAGGTGTATTAAATGCATTTTCAACTTAGGATATTTTCAACTTATGATGGGTTTACTGGGACTTGACTCCATTGTAAGGCAAGGAAAACTGTGGTATGTTTCTATATTTTCTTTAAATCTATTATCTATTAGGCTTTAATTCTGAGATACAATGAACAAGTCCAAGTCCAAGTTTTTTCTATCTCTACCTGCCTCTTCTGGTGTTATAAACTTTCAGACTGTCTTTTAAGACTGCAGAGTCATTTTTAATTAATTAACCTTTTTCTAGAACTTTTCCAATTTTGTTGCAGTGACTAAAACCACTTGTAATGCTTTAGGTGTGGATTTGTGAGGCTAAGGAAGTGCTTTGTTCCTATTCACTTGCTTTTCATGCCTACTGCTTTATTGATCTTGGGTTCAGAAGCTAATTGAGTAAAAGACTACATCAAAATGATTGTAATGAAGCTAATTAGAATTCTGTTAAATGTTCTGCCTTATAATAAAGGTAAAAATAATTTAGTTATACTCTACATAAATTACCTTTATTTGAAATGAGTGTATTACATGAAATTAGGAGTGTTCTAAAGGGTATACATATGGTCTACATACCTTATCTCCTGGTGTCATCTAGATCATGGACTTTGGAGTTGGACAAACCTAGTTTACCTGTTGGTTGGACCATATACATGCTAACTGTGTAACCTTAGTCAAGTTTACTCCCTCTAAGCTTCTGCCTGCCCTTAGCTAATTTTGTGTTCTTTGCCCTTGGGTAGATCACCTATTCTCTCTGACTTTAGTTTTCTATTTTTAAAATGATGGATTTCCACCAGATAGGTCACCTCCAGGTCTGTGACACCTCTAAAAAGTGCTCACCTGGATTCTGAAGCCATGGATCTGATTTAGCCATTGCTTGCTCAAATGCCTTCAGTAGATATGAAACTAAACTTAGCTTCAGCACTGAAAGCCCACCCTGACTGGCCCTGACCTACCTTTCCAGTGGTATTTCCTTATACAAACCTATGTTCTTCTAGCCAAGTGGTTTACTCATTGCCTCTTATTTTCCATGTCCTGCCTGTACACATTACTGGTATTTCTACCTGAAAGGCCCTTCCTTAGGTTTCCACATCATTCAACAACTATTGAGCATGGCCACGGAGTAAACACTGTATTTCATTCCAAGGGATCTGAATACAAAAATAACCCTGCTGCAGGGATCCTAGTGTCCAGCCAATGAGAGACAAATATGAAGTAAATGCACTAAAGCATTAAAGGATGCTGTGGATAGAGCATGTGCAAGCTATCATAGGAGCCAGTGGGGAATGATTGATTCCACTTAGGGAGATAGTCAGGAGGGAACACTAAAGAGGCCTTACAGTTTGCTCAAATATGAGATTGGCAAACAGTTTTACTTTTACTATCCTTTCTAAGTTCCATATAAAGGTTGTACTAGCCCTCTGGAGTGATTTGGCTAGCTTTTCCTTTTTCTCCTCTTTGAAACAGTAACGAAAGGAATTATCTGATACTTGAGCGTTTGGTGAAACTCACCTGTAAAACTGCTTGGGTGTGGTGTCTTAAAGGAAGGTAGATTTTTTTAAATAACAGATTCCAGTTTTAAGGGCTGCTTTTTTTTTCAGGAATTTTGAAGTGACTTTCCTAAATTTGTATTTCTGGAAAATTATCCATTTCATGTAAGTGTTTTTGAATAGATTTTCATAAAGTTGTATATGATACTTGCACATGATTTTTAGTTATTCACCACTGATTGCATAGTTAATGCCCCCCTTTTCAATCCTACTATATTAAGATACAGAAATTCCTTTTTTTAGCAAGAGTAGCTTTTTCTTGGATTTGGCCCTTTCAGTCATTCTATCAAAGTTAAACTGTTGGAAAAATTTGTGAAGATTACTTTTGCAGAACCTCACGTTGAACTTCTGTATGCAAAAGGTGAACATCTTTGGAAGAAATCTCTAGGGAAATAATTGTTTCTTTTTTCTTCACATGTGAAGACATAATTTTTGACTATGAATTAATTGTAGCACATTTTTTAGAATATGAACGAAAGCCACTAGTCTATAAAAGTAATTTTCTGGCATATGTCTTTAAATTTTTTTCACTGGCCACCAATAGACTTCTTTAGCTAATCATCAGAATAAAAGATACAATCTGCTCTTAAACTCTAAAATTCAAACTAAAAGAGTAGCAACCTCATAGAGAAGAAATTTAATCTTTGCATCTGTTAAAACTATAGAATTTTTAAAAAGCATTTCCCATCCAAGTTCAATCAGAAAATATAATAAGCTTTTAGTTGGAAAGTGACAAGATCCTAGAGTAGTGGTTCCTAGCCTTGGCAACACATTACAATCACCTGCAGAGCTTTTACAAAGGGGCCCACCCAGACCAGTTATATCAGAATATCCAGAGGGAGAGGAAGCACCAGTATTCTTTAACAGGTTCCCTAGGTGATTCTCATGTGCATCCACATTGAGAAACACTGCTTTACAGCAAACTTAAAAAAAGAATTTAAAGCCATCATTTTTGCATAACAGACCATGGAAAGGATAAAGCCCACATACTGAACCAAATGAGAGTTTTAACAGTAGATTCTAAGTAGAAAATTGGCTTACCAAGCCGCTAAAAAAAAAAAAAGAAAGAAAAAAGAAAACAAAGGAAACATAGAAATAAGCTCTCTGTGACTGAATTATCTGTCTTTCAGAGGAGGAACATTTTTTAATTTATTTTATGGATATTAGAAAACTCCTGGTCTAATTTCACACTGCAGAGCTCTAAACAACAGCACGTATCTTATTTAGAAGCATAAAGCAGAGAGAGTTATGTAGTCTAGAAAAAAAATTTCTTTTGAAAAATATACAATAGATAGTGTGTAGAAAAAGAAATTTTTTATCAATAAATTCATTTAAAAGCAGTTTTTAATGGTATAAGTGTGGATTGTCATATATAACACGGTAATGATTTTTATTTAAATTCCACGTACGCTTTATGCTTTCCTTTTGGAAAGTTTTAACCATCATCACAGAACTATTTAATTCATTCACTTTGTCAAAAATATGATGACAACACAACTTATTCTTCCCTTACCTTTGTATTTCAACAAGTATTTTAACTTTTCAACTGTATGAATTAGATAATGCTTTCTGAGTATGGTCGTAATTTCAAGATATATTCCTCAGAAGAGGTCACCTGAATTTGTTTACCAAATTAGTCAAAAACACTTAAGCAGAGCTATTAAACCTTAAAACGTGTTGTCAGGGATAGGGAAATAAAACCTCACAAAGATAACTGTTTTCCTCTAAAATTTAGAAGCCATTTTTGTGGTGATTTAGAGGAGCAGCAACTAATGGAAAAGTAAAAATGTGACCAACTTTTAATATAGCATAATTTGATTAAAGAAGCATTCGGAAAGTGTTACACATGCATTCAACTGAAAAGCCAAAATATTTAAGAAACATCTCTTCCAAAGACATGTATGTATTGTGTTATCTTTCAACCAAATAACAAAGATTTTATATTCTCGGTGTGATAGCTTTTAAAAGATCTCTTTATTATAAAACATGCATGAAGAAAACCACACAAAATAAATGTATAGTTTAATGAGCTATTATGAAGGAAATATCCCTGGAACCACACTCAGGTCTAGAAGAGGAACATTGCCAGGCACCCAGAAATACTATTATGTACCATCATGATTTCGACCCCTTCTTGGTCCCCAAAAGTAACCTCTCTCATGACTTTCCATCACTTTCTTACATAGCCATGTAGTT